GCTGACACCAACCCACACGAGCTGTGGTTCTGAGACAACGATTGTCGAACACCTGAAGACGTCTCAGTTCCGTTGCTCGAATAGGGCAGTGTCCGTACGTGACACTGAATGAATGGACGAGCACAGCCTGTAAGGTTGACCATTCAGCCTGCAATGTAGCTGAATATGATATTGACAGACTGTCCTAGTTCGCATGCACCCAACGTCGGCCTTCATAACAGCCCCGATCATTAAACGAATGGTTGTAAACTCAATTGGTTCAGTTGTACAAGATATCAGGGCGGTTCCTGATGAGTAAGCAAGCTGCAACACCCTTTCGGTGCCTACCTGCCGTGCCACCCGAAGGAAGCACGAGGGTTGGGATATTGCCAGGTTACCCAAGCTTAGACAGGGGAAGTCGAGTGGCAGAGGTGGGGCTCGAACCACGGACCTTCCGGTCAGTAAATCCGCGCTCTAACCACTGAGTCATCTCGCCCCTCCCATACGGCACAGCCTAATGGACAGAGAATTTACGAATATGGGACCCAAAATGTACCAATACAGTACAGTACTAATACAGCGCACGGGCGTAAACAGTAAAATTCCGGATTCGCTAAGTCTATAAGTGTATTGAGTACTGCTCATACAACCGTGTCTGGCAGAATTTATCAGGTTGTCAGAAGGGAAAATAAAATTGCTGCGCGGAGTCAACCAGCAGTTTTCCTGAGTTTTGCTCATCTCTAAATGTGAAGGCCACCAAATACGGCCAGCTGACTGAACTTGTGTTCGTTCAACTAAATTTGATCAAATTTTTTCATCTCTTCAGGTCATCGAATTTCCGAGAAAAAATAAAGTCGTTGTGTGAAAGATTTTTATCAACCGCGAAAAGTGGCACACTTCCAAAAATTTGACTTTTTCTACTTCCAAAAATTTATTTTTTTCTGCTTTCTTCCTTGCTTAGACACCGTTTTCGTGTAGTTTGTGTCAAAGTAACCATGACACCTGACAGATTCTGATCGCGGATTTATCCAAAACACATGTTTTTCAAGGTATTTCTAGAAACATTGTAGGCGCCGAACTTTGTGTTTTCACTTTGTTACTTGTGCTGGTAACACATGGTATGTAGCTTTGCAGCAATCTAGTGGAGAGCAAGGGTGGATATTCTGAGTCGTCTGACACCAATAAAATATATTTGGCGTCGATCGAAAAAAACGTCTTTGTATGGATCTGCCATTTATAAATTTAGTAGTGTCCGGGGGTGACAACAGAATGTGTCCGCTCCTCACGAATTATTTAGAACCCAGTTCAATGACGACCTGAGACGATGCTTTGGAACAAGAAATTATTGTGATGAACTACAGGTATTTAAAAATGTAATGATAAGACTTTCTCCACATGTTTGACATCGATCTTCAGGTGTTCACACGGCGCTCCGGACCCATTTTCCAGATCTTCAGGTGTTCTCACGGCGCTCCGGACCCATTTTCCAACAACAGACGTTTTCTGAGTTCGGAAGAGTTTTCCACAAGTTTTACCATCGATCGCATCTTGTTCCTCGGCGTATCGCTTCTACCGATTGAGCGTCAGTTGTGCGAAAACGGGAAACTGGCAGATTCTGTTTGGGAAACCGCTGTCTGTAGTTTTGCACAGACGAATTTATATTCCGAGTGTGTTTACTAATGGTTGATCAGATGGCTGTTGATGTGTGTTCACCGAACTTGGTAATCGGCTTGCAATCCGTTCATCCACAGTGTAGAAGGTATTGTGACTGGGTAACTGTATTGGGGACGGGAGAGTAATTGACCCGATTACCTGGGCACTGAGGATGTCCGCTAGACTGGAGGGAACATTTGCAAGCCTACTGCCAAGATCACAGGACAGATCAACCACGTTTGAATTAACTCGTCAAGTTTTCCCGTGAGTAGACCACCATTCTATCTGATTGTTCCTCATCACAATAAAAAACAAGTACATGACGGCCGGATGGGTAACAGAACACGCCGGGAAACTTTTGTCATTCCCCCCCCCCCCGCTATGCACTTAGACGTAGTTCTGAGGATTGCCAAATTCGTTCAACAAGCGCGTTTCGTTTTCTGCTTCCTGGTAGACGTCCCTTGTTAGGTAGCACAGATTTTCCAAAGAGTTAGACAACAGTGTTGATCTGATCGGAACCACTCTTTTCAGAGGTGTCCCTATTGTGCTACATCGCGTACATGTCATTTGAAGTTCAGTCTATTTAGCATCACAGAAATGTATCACCATTTTGCTTAGCAAACGGACATACTAACCTGTGGAAGAAAGGCAGAAGGTCTGTGGAGGCTTCTAAAACGATGTTACCAACTGTGAATTACGCGGATGTCGTCTTATGTCACAAGAAAATGTTTAATGAGGCTTCTCATCCTTTACTTTCAACCATGACAGCAATACCACTTTACCGGTGGATACTACTGGTGAAGCACGCGAGTAGTATATGTTTTCCCATAACTCCATCTGCGTCACTGCGTATCCAGGAAAGTTCAGGAAGACGCGTTCGAGAAGAAGACGGTCACTCAGTTTTTATAAACAAGATGAATATTAGAGTTTTTCTTCCTTGTCCGATAATCTGTAAATGTTCAGTTAGTGCTTTCGGATAAGTAACTGCGCAGCGAAGGCCTTCTTCCTCTCAGCAGTATGCATCTGATGAATGGCTCTCTAGATCCTTACCTGGTTGGATTGCAGACTTTACAACTATCCTTCGGAGCCAAGCTTTCTGAGGTAACACTCGCATATGGTGTCTTTTATCGGTTTTTGCGCACGTAGATACGTATATCCAGCATGGAATGGAAAAGAACTACAGCCGTGCAGGAGAGCGGTAGCTAACCCTCTTCCATGCAACAATATCTTGGAGGCTCCGGTCAAATATTCATTAAAACGTGTGATAGTGGCTTTGTGGTCCAGCATTTTGTCAGCTCCGAATAAATCGATACTGAAATTAACTTACTTTTCTTGGGATTGACCCTGAGAATCATTCTTTACGATGTTCAGAGTTGTTGCCGCCAATAAATTCGGCCTCTCTGGACTTCCATCCGAACGGCATTTCATGAGGATCGTCTCCCGTTCATCTAGATAAACGGGTGGTATTCGAATATCGGTAGAACGTTCACCGCTGCTGGGATCCAACGCGATTACTGTCGACGCAGTGCTTCTTTCGGACGGTCGGACAGATGGTGAGTAGTCCGAGTGTTTTTTGATGAGTAGTAGTTGGATACTATGGGGAAATTCATGGTTGTCACATCCGAGACCTTTCTCTGGATTAAAACTTTCGGAGAAGTCGTGGTCACATTCAGAACAGAAGGGTAACATGATCGATTTTCTCCAAATCGTGAGTTACCATCTGGTCATACAGAGGTTAAATATGTAAAAAAAATTTTGCATAGCAGTCCCAGATTACTCACCTGGTTCGAAACTTCGATTTAAAACTTGTTTCCAAACAACCGGTAAAGTATTTGTACATTTATCTGACTCCCTGCGAATGTAGTTTACAAGAAATCAACATCTTGAGTGTTTCCATTTTTTTCCATGTGGCCTCATACTTCGACGTCAGCTTTTTCCTTAATTTCACTTTTACGAGAAATGCCTTGTTTTAGACCACTTCAGTAGTTTGTGGCGCGTACATTTTACCCATCTGATGTGAATAAAATTAGTTCCTGTTAACATAGAAAGTCGTTGAAGTCGTGAACTACAAGACTCAAAAATTACTGTGGGCGAATCCATGTCCATAAATTTCTGTAGCCTCTTGGAGTTCGCATTTGTTTTTTGAGCTCTGCTATCACATGTGTCTTAAAAACTCGGTCAGGAGTACGGTTGGCATCCCCACCTAGGAATGGTGAGCGCCACAGGTGAGGTATTCAATTCAACACACAAAACAAGGGTTGATATATTTTCATCCCGTAAAGTGATTTGGTCACAAACAGTCAGAATCAATCCGTATTTTTTGACCATTTTTTATTTGTTTGTCTGACTTGTTTAAACACATACTGATGCATTTATAGGGGCATTAACAATCGGTGCTCTAGCCTACTTTGCACACATTGCCAGGTAACAAAGTATGTTGATTTGGTCTTTGATTGATTATCGACTTTTAAAATATTTGATTCGGTATGAACCATGCAATGAGCTGGCACTGAACCGAGCTAGGTAAACGTGAATAAAGTTAGCGGCATTTCTACCTCAATTCGGTTGTGTAACTCTGCGTAACCCTTAGTACTCTGGACACCATTTTGTAGTGCAACGGTAAAAAAAGGACAACACCTTAGCGAAATACACTCATTTTCAAACTAATTTGGTTTTTCGAGAGACTTGCCTGGATCCTAGGCGAGTCTCCCGTTTGTGATGAATCCAGGCAACTAAATGTGCTGCACCAGACCGCCGCACGTTTCAGCCGCTACGATATTCGAGATATCGCGAGACATGTATATTCGTGATGCACTACTTATAAGGTTACTGAAAATTCACCGATAGCCCACGACCGGTTTCGCCCTTCTTGGGGCTCATCAGGTAGGTGCAGAGTGAGTCTATTTCACCTACCTGATTATCCCCATGAAGGGCGAAACCGACGAATTTTCAGCAACCTTATGAGTGGTGTATTACAAAAGGCAACACCTCTTTGAAACTTATTCAATCAGTACATCATCCCTGTTTGTTTGCTGGTCGCCATTGCCTGCTCAACCATTCAATGATTGTGAGACTGATATAAGAACTGGTTAGAATGATCGCCTGTTCAACGTACCGATTTCCAACTCCGGTGGAAGATCGAACGCGTTTCCAAATACTGTCAACGATTTCTTCGAGTAACTGTATTCGTCAGGTAAATATTTTATGGGGTAAACGTCTGAGTTGATGAATATTTGATCCAGTAGTCCTGCACACGGATTGCATGTGAGCGCTTTTTTGAGGACTGTACAGAATAGAAACGCAAACAGTGTTATTTGGCGGAAGTTTCTGAGAGGATACACTGGCTGTTACCCAGTATTTGCACAAACGTCCCCCGAACAGTGCTGGTTAGAGCTGGTAGGTGAAGCCATTCTACGCTGAAACGCGAAGAAGACAGCTGCTTTGTACTTGTTGGAACTTTTGGAGTTTCGAACCCGCGACCTTCCGGTTCAACTATTCGGTCACGTAAATTTGATCAACAGTATGTTTAACTGGCCCTCTGACGGGACGTACAATAGCTCATGGTTGAATCACGAGATCGAGATCAAGTTGACCGTCTCTTAGGGTAGTGACTCCTCACTCATCATGTGAAACTATTCTTCCTGTAGGCTGCCTAACGATTATTGATTGGATGAGGAACTTTGAAGTCCCTAATGGAAATTACGTTGTGCATGTAAAGTGCATCTCAAAGAAGGTGGAACAGATTTACAGTAGTCCTCGGATTGTCACCTCACTTTAAGGGAGAAATCTTCAAACTACGAATGATTTACATTCGGGGACTTGGATTTCACGTCGGCAAAACCTGCAACACAAGCTCGATTCCGTCGGAAATTTACACGAATACGATTTGGTTAGAGAGAAAATACGGATTTCGCTAGTATATAGTACCATTTTATAGTCATGTTTGGCCAATACAACGGTGACCTTGAATGAGATTCTGATCGATGATATGTAGGCCTGTGTTACAGCGGCTGCCTGCCAACTCTTGAAATCACAGACATCAAATGACCAGTTGTAATCAGTCAGTTTGATGTAAGGACCAAAACTTTCCCACATTGATGTGTTCACCTGATGAAACAAATGCCAGCTCCCCACGACATGAAGTACGTGATTCGTTGTTGAAACTACTCATCTCTCTTTCGGATAACAGAACATGGCAAAGGGATATTCGATAACGATCAGGGTGAATATATACCTTTCTGTGTTGACTGTCCAAATTCACCAAAGATCACATGACATGTAAGTGCACTGATCGATATCATCATCATCATCATTAAAGACAGCAACATTAGTGTTGACACTGATGCTTCATTGTCGTACAACCATAAGGTTCGTCTAATTATGTTTAGAAACCTGGAGTGAAAAGAAGGAGAAAAAGGGTGGGTGCGGGAGGGGACCTAGTGCTGGCCTATGTCAAGCATTCTGAGGTGCCTACACCTCCAACTACTCAATTAGACAATCTGGAAAGAAACTCACAGCACGAACGCCACTGGCGTCGATTAACCGCCATTACTTGCAACGTCCTCAACCCAACACAGGTCGGGTCACAGGGACCCCATCCTGGAAGTCGTACAACACCAACAACACCCAGACTCTTCGTGATCTCTTCCACACCTTCCTGCCAAGTCATCCACTGTCCATCTCGCGGTTTGCGCCATTCTGAACGAAGCACGGAGAACAACACTTGTCTCGGTCGACGGTATTTAGGCATGCGTGCAACACGACCGCGCCATCGTAGTCGATGATGCTGGATGTTTTCCCCTGATTGAAGACGCCTCACATCATCTGTCTGCAGAGGCCACGTCTCGCACCCATAAAAAGCAACACAGCCCTTACTGTAGGCTGATATACGCAACAACCATGTCATTTACAACTAACCGGTCGATGTCAGATTTTAAACAGTGCGGAATGAGAGAGTCCAAATGAATCCAATGAACTTGATTGATTGTAGACATAGCTCAGATTCGATGAAATACGTCCTACGGACA